AGGAAGGTCCAGATCATAGAGCATTTTCCACCAAAAAGAGGATTTGAGCTAGTGAACCAGTCCAACATCTTCTCCTGGATCTCATTCAGCCCATTCACAATTCCATTACAAGGATACTTTCCAGACCTGACCATACATCTATCTTTGCGGGCAGCAAATTCCACGGTTTGAGCCATCTTACCCATTACAAGTCTCCAATAGTCTAAGACTTTATGGCACTCACTAGCATGAGGCCTTGCAGCACAAAGTGGACTTCACCAAAAATGAATACTGTTTAAGCAATTAATCCCCCTCTGAAAAAAACACAACACATATTTTTTCACATGTCTGCATCTTTATATTTAATAAAATATATTGATTTTCTTTATTCTCTGAACACTAAATTGTAGTGAATTTATTTCAGAATCTAAAATTTAGGCAGAATTGCAGATTTGGAAGAATTCCCCATGCCAGCTATAGTCACAGCTTGACTATTTTTGCATAAATTTTGCAGTCTGAAATTTGTGTTCATTACGATTTCTTGCTTAGTGAATACGCATTCTGTCTTTGATTTGTAGGGTTACTGCTATGTTATTCTCCTGTACCATTCGCTAGGTCCATCCTTAATGTGTTTGCTCCACATTAGCAATTTATCAAGGACCTCTGGGTGGAAAGCAACTCCAAACCCAAATACTCTACAGACATACTATTTATCATGTTAGGAAGATATAATTTTCTTCTCACTTATACCAAACACATTAATCAACACTCAATTTAGCTAATCAATACTGTCTTTTAGAAAGACAGATGTTCTAATTGAAAGGCAGTAGTTTGATAAACTTTCATGCATACTGTTATTGTTTTCCTTATGACAGCATGAACACTGATATGAGACAATATAAAAGATGCCATTAGATATTCACCCATTACCCTGTGGTTCTAGGGTTCCTGTAGTAATGCACACCTTACTGTTTTGCTTTCAATATTAGAATGGTTGAGAAATTTACAACACACCCAGTAGCACTATTCATTCGCATATAATATAAACAAACAGAGATGCATTTTCCATAAAGTAAACTAAATAGAATAACCCCAAAATCCCCCGGAAATAAAAAAGCAGCAGACAATTGACATCGCTATTAAGTAATCCATTCACCCACGCAGGCAAATAGTCAGAAAAATTAAGCCTACTGTAAATCCTAAATTAAGGTGTAATATATATTAATACATTCTTTTCTAGAGCGGTTCTCATTCCCCCAAATTGAACTGAGCCCACAAGTAATGATAGAACGTGAGAAGATGACCCTGACATGTAACATAACTGCACGAGATCCCACGAACCTGCTATTTGCTTTCTACAGAGATGGAGAGATGGTGCAGGGATTCAGTTCATCCAATAAGTACCGGGTTCAAGCAGCTAAACTGGAGAACTCAGGAAATTATACCTGTGAGGTCAGAACCTCAAACAACAATGTTAAAAAAAAAAGCCGGGTGTTACATATCCCAATAATAGGTGAGTATGGAACAGAGAAACAATATGTGTAAAGTATCTTACAGTAAAAATAATATACAAAAAGGGGGGTCCGTCCTTTAGAGAGATGTACAATAAGAGCTCTGTAGGTAAACAGAGAGAGAGAGAGAGAGAGAGAGAGAGAGAGAGAGAGAGAGATTTCACATTTTACAGATGCTTCATCGGATTAAGGTCTGGGGAATTTGGAGGCCAAGGTAACATCTTAAACTCTTTGACATGTTCCTCAAAGTATTCCTAAACTTTTTTTCCCTGGTGAAAGATGCCACTGCCATCAGTAAGAATTACCATGAAGGGGTGTACATGGTCTGCACCAATCTCTGGGTAGTTGGTACATGTCAAACTAACATACACATGAATGCCCAAGGTTTCCCAGCATAACGTTGCCAAGAGTATAACACTAACTCCACCAGCCTGCTTTCTTCCCATAGTGCATCCTGCTGCCATCTCTTCCCCAGGTAATCAATGTACACACACCCGGCCATCCACCTGACAAAAGAAAATGGAACTCATCAGACCAAGAAACCTTATTCCATTGCTCTAAGGTCCAGTTCTGACACTCATGTCCCTATCGAAGGTTCTTTCAGTGGTGGACAGGGGTCATCATGGGCACTCTGGTTACACCTACACATCCCTATATGCAGCAAACTGCGATGCAGTGGGTAACATCTTTCTATTATGGCCAACATTATGTTTTTTAGCAATTTGACCTAGAGTAGTTCTTCTGTGTACACACACCCGGCCATCCACCTGACAAAAGAAAATGGAACTCAGACCAGACAGACAGGCTAGCCTTCACTCCTCATATGCATCAATGAGCCTTGAGTGCTCATTAGCCTTATGCCGGTTCCCCAGTTGTCCTTCCTTGCACCACTTTTGATAGGTACTAATCACTGCATACACCCTACAAGTCTTGTCATTTTGGGGAGACAGACATTTAACCATTATTTTTCGCTCTTTGACAGGTGCCATTGTAAGAATATAATAAATCTTATTCACTTCGCCTATCAATGGTTTTAATGTTTTGGCTGATCAGTGTATATGAAATGTCTATGCACAGTTATGCACTTTATATTTGATATCTTCATAGTACAAATGTGGGTCTGGTTTAAGAAATCATGCTGAAACAACTATTTGAGCTCATTACCTCCTCCTTATTATTATGCACCTGCAACCCCTTATTTAATAAGTTTTCTATTTAAATACTAGCTCTCTCTATTTCCTACGCTCAGTCATACTGCTGCATTTTCTATTTCAGGGTTTCCTGTGACCACGTCAAAGACTTCCTTTCCTAATGTAGCCTAATGCAGGTTGTCTAGACTTAAAAGCTAAAATCTTTTATTATCTTTATTTTGTATTTGACCTCTGCTCTAAATAGCCCTAAATTGCAGCACATTTACACAATCACATCTGGAAATAAATATGAATAGTTGCCCTCACAATGCATAGATTTTTGCATTGCATAAATACTAATTAACTGTATGCACCATGCATGTGCCTGTATGGCAATGCTGAAAAAAAAATGCTGAACATGTTACAGACATTGTCTACAGATGCCTCAGAGTACCTTACGCTTCTTGGAGCAGTGAAGTTGCCCACAATGCATAAATGCTATGGAAGTAAAGTATCTGGAGCAAATGAAAAAGGAACTGTCACTTCTCTCATCAGTACAGTTGCCCTTTATCCATCCTGTTTATCAGGGTTAGTGTTAAGCCTTTTCCTGCATTAAAGGGACACTATAGTCACCAGAACAACTACAGCTTATTGAATTTGTTCTGGTGAGTAGAATCATTACCTTCGGGCTTTTTGCTGTAAACACTGTCTTTTCAGAGAAAATGCAGTGTTTACATTACAGCCTAGTGATAACTTCGCTGGCCACTCCTCAGATGGCTGTTAGAGATCCTTCCTGGGTCATGGCTGCCTAAAATGCATTCAAACATTCAGTGTCTCCTCCTTCTGCATGCAGACACTGAACTTCATTCATTTAATTCATCTCTATGAGGAGATGCTGATTGGCCGGGGCTCTGTTTGAATCATGCTGGCTCTGCCCCTGATCTGCCTCTTTGTTAGTCTCAGCCAATCCTATGGGGAAGCACTGTGATTGGATCAGGCCACCACTTCTAATGATGTTAGCAGACTGCTTGTTTTTCTGAGTCTAACAGCATGCAGAGTTACAGCTTTAGGCTTGAATACATTAAGATTTTGCTATATTTATGATAGCATGAAGGGCCCAGGGGGGCTAGATGGTGGTGTTAACACTATAGGGTCAGGAATACATGTTTATGTTCCTGACCCTATAGCGATCCTTTAACTTTTGCAGAAAAAAGGAAGCTGTATAACATGGTTGAAATCTTATTTAACATGATTGAAATCTTATTTTCTATGCAAAAGTATCAGAAATTAAAAAATGCAAAGTGAAAAATGCACCATATTAGGAATTTTCACAAATTTCCAAAAAATACACGAGCTACGCCAGAAATAGTATAGTTGATATATCCACTACAATTTAAACATAAGATGGACAGAACTGGAGTTTGCCAAGCAGCAAGTCGTTAACATTATCTCCTCTTTTCTCACAGGGCCCACAAGTCAGACATACTGGCAGACAATTCTCATTACCTGTCTGTCGGTTCTACTGCTCATTGTGGTAATCCTTGCTTTTGTGTTTAGACACAAACTTGTTCAAGCTCTTCGTAAGCAGTACCGGTACCAACCAAAAAGAGGTAAATAGAGAACTTCAAGCTACTAAGTTTGACAGTTTTAGAACAACTCTTAGTAGTATTTTTTAACTCTGCCCCAAAATAAGACCATCCATTCACCTACATTACCCATTAGTAACAGTTTTAAAAAAAAAATATTCAAATCTGTCTCTAGTATTAAACAGGACCAGTTAAAAAATGTGAGAACTTTTTTTTGGAGAATGGATTGGTAATGGGATTTGGGAGCATCTGTTTTACTTTTACTAAATTTAATTTTAACTGTGAGCCATTTTTTAATTTAAAGGTTAACAGGTTTTGGGTTAACAGTGTATTAGCGGCCCTTAGAGATGGCTGAACGCAAAATTCCACAAACAGGAAAAGCCTAAGTAATTAAATCTCATGACAGGGTACCGAGTGTGGTTTGGGTTTAAAGACAGTATAGCAAAATCCTTTTAGTTAGCATTGATTAAAAAGCACCAGAAGGTACATAAACTGTGTTGAGGGAATGACAACTCTGGCAGTGAAGAGGCCTGGGTCAAACATAGCATCACAATGACACATGGCATATCAATGTGTGCTACACATTTGCCAAGAAGTGAAGTGACATGACAGAGCTTACATTTTTTTATTCAGCATAAGCTAAGTGTAATTGGGGAGTTTGTAACAGATACAGTCAGGGGAAAAAGAAAGTACCCCCTCTTGGAATTCTATGGTGTTACATATCAGTACATAATAACAATCATCTGTTCCTTAGCGGGTTTTAAAATTAGGTAAATACAACATTAGATGAACAACACACGACATAGTACACCATGTCATGATTTATTTCACAAAATAAACCTAAAATGGAATAGCCATATGTGAAAAATTAAGTAATAGGCTAAGTAGCAGACAGGTGCTGCTAATCAAATGCCATTTATTAATTGATCATCAGCAAGTGTGACCGCCAAAGTTTTAGCAGTTTGCTGGTCTGGACCATTCAGGTGTGTCACACAATGCCAAGGAGAAAAAGACATCAAGAATTTGATGCAGAGTATTACTTTTAGAGCACCCACGTGTATTTGAGCTGTTTCGGAGGTGATATCAGTGAGTTACTGAAATCCTCAGCAAAATGTGATCCAACTGCAGCCACGTGTTAGAGTTGCACTGATGCTGGTGAATGCGTCAGTCATTATATTGAAGCAATAACGAAATAAGATAAAAATTGATTACATGAACAACTTATTATTTTCTTGGTTTTACAGATCACACATTCTTTGAGGATCCCATTAGGTGAGTAATTAGGCAGATGCTCTACTTTCCCTTCGGATTTGTGAATTTTTTTAAAGAATTGCCTTGTCAATAGGTATGTCTTGTAAAATCCCTTTCTGTGTAGAAGTCATACTTAAAAGGGACACCCAACTGCAGAAATAAAAATGAAAAAAAAAATTCACTGTTTAGGAAATATGTCCCCCAAAAAAACATCCATGTATTTAATTACGAATATTTTCACTGGTGAATATGAAAAACAATTTGCAAAAGCTGCAGATCTCTTGCCTGCAGCCTTTACACGCCCTCCCCTTTTCACCCCACCCAGACTTTCTATGGCTGTCCAATCACAGACTTCCTAATGCAGCTCAATGAAAATGTTTTCCAAGGCAGATGCTCTGTGCAACATCCTGCCACTTGAGTTAAGTTCCACTGAGATAACCAAACCAGGAAGTTGTGTGACTGACAGTGAGTTGGGTATAACAAGGTTAATTTATAACAATATGTATAGTTTTTTTTTATAAATGTGTCTATTGATACCTGCACTTTTTTGTAAAATGAAAAAAATGACACACTTTTCACACATAAAGCACTTCAGCAAGCTAAAGTGCTTAAGGGGTCTGGAGTGTCATTTTAGCATACAGGTACTGGTAATGTTAAGCTGTCAAGGTGAACATACAATAGCACAGAAATAGTAGTAAATGAGACTAGATAACAACTGTGATGGACCGCTTGCCACCCCGACTGGGTGCCTCCATCAATCGATGCTCCTAGCGCTCACCAAGGGCTCTAAGCATTCCACCGGACACCATAAGCACTGTAGACCCCACGAACTGCCACAGCTTGGTTGGGGATCTTGCCGTCCTCCACTCACCCTGGACCCAAGACCAGGATCCAGCTTCCAGTGGGTGAACCTCTACTCCAAGAGAGTATAGCTGTGAAGCTCTTATAAGAACTAGTAATTTAGCTTGTATAGCAGGTCCCTACAAGCACGAGGCAAGGCTCTATGTTGAGGGTGAAGACAATTTTAATGGTGCCACACTGGCCTTTTATGACAATCCCCATGCAATGGGTACGTAAACTGAGGTCCCACTGTATTTTTCTTAGTATAAAAATGGAAATGACTCTGCAATACCAGCACCGGCCAGTAGGGGTCACTGTGTGTGGAGACAGGCAGGGATAGGAAGTGTTGGGGACTCCAACACAAAGACACAGTCCAATAAGAACAGTGATCAAATGCACAACACTCCCATAACAAACATACAATCCCTCCCCTCTGCCTGGGAGATAACCGAGTCAGATACTGTATCAATTCAATTATCTCCAGGCAGAAAAAAACACCTATTTTACAAAACCCCAAAAGTACCCCTAAAACCCATGATATCCCCACAATTGTTACATCCGCTGATAGTCCTGATCTGGGTGACCAATATATATCCAAAAATCACCCGGATCAGTTCATGGGTTCAAGAATTCTATGGAAGAAAATATTTTGATGGACCGCACGCATGGTCCCATGCCCAAAACAGTTCCAGAGAATCAGGCTGTGTGGCTGGTCTACTTCGGGGATTCGAAGTACAGTTCGAATAGCCGAACATCCATGGAAGGTAAATTTTAGCGGTATTCGCACCGTTGAGTGTCCGAATAATGACAATTTATGTATTTGCCAGTAATTTGACTAGATTGATTTATAGATTAAATTTATATTACAAATAAAAAGCTGTTTTAGGAGTTTTTCATGATATGTTCAGTTATAGCTAAGTGCAGGGCCGGATTAACATAGTTGTTTTGGGAGTTTTTGGTGCATTTCTCAAGCTGTGCTTCATCTTTTGCATGCCTTTTATTGTGTGTTCTGCATTGTTGGTTGGTTTCCATGCCAGCTCATTTTGACTTTTTTCTGACCTCCAGAATGGATTAATTGGTTTTCAATGCATTCCTTTGGGAAATCGTGTTTTGGTTTACAAATTTACAAATTTTTCGCAATAAGAAATGTCCCGGAGAACGCATTAAATTCGTAAACTGAGGTCCCACTGTATTTTTCTTAGTATAAATGGAAATTACTCTTCAATACCAGCACCGGCCAGTAGGGGTCACTGTGTGTGGAGACAGGCAGGGATAGGAAGTAACAGCATATCCCTCCCTGCCTCTCTCTACTACTCACTGATTCGTGGGTGAGCAGCTACACAGCAAAGAGTCCAGACAGCAGCTCTACAGCTCAGGTAATGAGGGATGGGGGGAAAGGCAGCAGGGAGACATGGGGACACTGAGAAGCTAGGGGACACGTGGAGACAAAGACACTAGTGGACAATGGGAGAAATGGGGACACAGAGGCATAGGGACATTGGGAGACACTGAGACATTGGGACACAGAGACACTAGGGACACAGTGTCCCCATGTCTCCCAGGTTCCCCTAGTCTTCCAGTGTTTGTGTCCCCTAGCCTCCCAGGGTCCCCATGGCTCCCAGGGTCTGTGTCCCCTAGTCTCCCAGTGTCCCCAAGTTTCTCAGTGTCCCCGGGTCTCTCAGTGACATGGGGACACAGTGAGACATGTGGACATTGGGAGAAATGGGAACACAGAGACTAGGGAACTGGGTGACATGGGGACACTGACACTGATACATAGGGACACTGAGAGACTGGGCAACTTGCGAGACTGAGACACTGGGAAACAGGGAGACACTGGGAGCAATCCATCTATACAGCAGAATCCAACTGTGAGTAGTTTGTTGGTGATTTTACAGAATTTTCTCTTATGTCACTCTTTGTGATTTACATCATGTGATGTCACGCATAACTAAATTATACAAATTATTATTATGATATTTATAGAGCGCCGTCAAATTCCGCAGCGCTTTACAATGGGTGGACCAACAGACATGTAGTTGTAACCAGACAAGTTGGACACACAGGAACAGAGGGGTTGAGGGCCCTGCTCAATAAGCTTACATGCTAGAGGGAGTGGGGTAAAATGACACAAAAAGGTAAAGATAGTATTAGACTAATGACAGTTGCAGAAGAGGAATTAGTCAGGAGCTATTAACAGGGGACACTGCTTTTATGAAGAAGTGGGTTTTTAACGATTTTTTGAAGGAGTGGAGAATGGGTGAGCATCGAACGGAGGAGGGAAGCGAGTTCCACAGGAACGGTGCAGCCCTCGAGAAATCTTGAAAGCGCGCATCAGAGGTGGGAGTACGGACAGAAGATAGACGTAAGTCTTCAGCAGATCGTAAGGGCCTAGACGGGACATACTTGTGTATAAGGGAGGATAGATAGGTGGGCGCAGCATTATGTAGAGATTTGAAAGCAAGAACCAGAATTTTAAATTGAGCTCTATATTTTATAGGAAGCCAATGTAGGGAGTGACAGAAGGGTGAGGCATGGGAGGTGCGGCGGACAGGAAGATAAGCCTCGCTGCCGCATTCATTATAGATTGTAACGTTGCAAGTTGGGAGCACGTGAAACCACTGAGAAGCGGATTACAGTAGTCAATGAGAGAAAGGACAGTGGAATGGACCAACACCTTAGTCGCATCTGGCGTTAAGTAGGGGCGGATACGCGCAATGTTTTTGAGATGGAAATTACAGGATTTGGCGATAGATTGAACATGAGGCTTGAAGGAGAGGTCGGAGTCAACGAGAACACCTAGGCAGTGAGGCTGCATGGTGGAACTGATGGTAGCACCGTTGACTTGAAGGGAGACAGATACAGGAGTAACAACACTTGAGGGAGGAAAGCATTTCAGTTTTGGTCAAGTTTAGTTTAAGGAAGTGGGCAGCCATCAAGTTAGAAACAGCAGAGAGGCAGTCAGAGGCACTAGTCAAGAGGGATGGGGAGAGATCAGGAGAGGACAGGTAGATTTGCGTGTCATCTGCATAGAAATGATATTGGAAGCACGCGCATTAGACCTCTCCATAGGAAAGCATTGAAAATCCTTTTCAATGCTTTCCTATGGGGATTTTAGCGATGCTGGAGGTCCTCACACAGCGCGAGGACGTCCAGCGACACTATAGCACAGAAAACTTGTGCTATGGCCCAAGAAGTGCCCTCTAGTGGCTGTCTAGTAGACAGCCACTAGGGGAGGACTTAACCCTGCAAAGTAATTATTGCAGTTTATGAAAACTGCAATAATTACAGTTGCAGGGTTAAGGGAAGTGGGAGTTGGCACCCAAACCACTCCAAGGGGAAGAAGTGGGCTGGGTGCCTGGAGTGTCCCTTTAAGAGGGATGCATGGGAACAAAATCTATGTGGACTGGCTGACAATAAAATTAGTTTAGGTAATGCAGACTTTGGTCTCTCTAACACTGTGGCATGTCCCCTTTCTTCTACACTCACTACATACACCTTTACTCTGTCCCAGACTATATACCAGGAACTTCTGTCTGCTAGTAAGATGATAAGGAGACAAGTGGGCATGTGAGTGCTAGGGGACAGTCCTTAGAAAGCTTGGAGTAGGCGCATCATTTGACACATTTTTGTCAAGCTCAAGGTGCTGTCTGCATAGTAGGCCCTTAGTCGGACAGCCTCCATTCATGCCAGACTGGACTTCCAATTCTTTGGACAAACATGCCCCCTTTTTGGGAATGTTCACCCCTTTTGGCAGGTCTGGTCACGTGATTCGCGCCAGTGGCACACTCTTTTACCCTGCACATTGACTTCCTGCTTCACTGGACACTGCTGTTAGGGGATATGGATTTACTTGAAAGAAGAAAGCATAAATTAAAGAGAGATTAGCATAGAATATGTGTTTTCGTATAGCTGCATCCTTTGAGTTTCCCACCAATACCATCTCCATCAAATACATGAGAGGTATGATTGTTTTAGTGTTTTTGGTCGATAAGATTCTGTAATTAGGCCCATCATAATTGCCAGCACCAGGCCCACTGGGCTCTTAATCTGGCCCTGGCTAAGTGACTCTTTCCTGACATTCAGTACATCACAGGCTATAAAGTCTGTTATTATCCCCAGGCCAGAACACAGGACACTGAAGCCAGAATCTTCAAACATGGAGGAAACAGGTAAAAAGTCTTTAAAACAGTCTAAAACAATGCTGTATAATCTAAACTATTTTCCACTGAACAAATTATTAATAGAACTTAAAGTTTAGGTCTACATTTTAATATATTTTGTGTTAGTTATCTGATGTTTTATACCTTTATGCTGCTATTTGTTAAACGTGTTCACTATTGGACCACCTTTTAAAACGCTCTTTTGAAGCAGACTTTTATTTGTGAATAACGAACCTCACCAAAACAATGTCAGGATCTAATGATTCATGAGTTGATCATCTGTATCCACAGCTTGTCAGCTCCCAAAAAGTAATTGATCAGTTGAAAAACAAAAGATAAAGGTGGCTTATGCTGTAATCGTGTGTAAACATTAACTTTTATTCTATCAAAACACATTCTGAGTTATTTACTTGTGTGGAAGTAGTGGGGAGTTGTGTGTAGTGCCCCTTTTCTTATACCCCCTTTACACCCTAATATTGAAACATGAGACATAGTTGGGGAAAATAGGCCACAGCTTTTTTTAATTAAATATTTCACCTAAAGATATTACCAATACTTTGTATCAAACATATAGAATCTTTAATAATTTGATCAAACAACATTACTTAACAATATAACTTAACACTGTTCTATAAACATACCCATCCTTGTCAATGAATTAACCGTAACCTTGGAACTCACCTGGGCACTTGCCCTCCCCCCTCGTCCCAACCGACACTGGCCACAAAACCTGGCCTTCCCCCAACACCATGCTAACCACTAGCTGACCTTTGGCTCAGTGGGCATGTCCGTAATAAACCATACCTTAACTTCAGCGAGGCTAGGGGGAGGGATCGACCCCACTTTCCTTCACACCCGTTGGACTCCCCCAGTCCAACCCACAATTGGCAAGCAGAACCACCCGCCTGCTGTGACGAAAGGCAAGTGAAAAAACAGTGAAACAAACAAAGAAACAGCCTAACTAAAAGGGAGGGAGGAGAGCAATTCCTAGCTGATTATAAAATGGCAGGGGAATACAAAACATGTCTCCTACTTATACCCCCTACCCTGTCACTTACTGCTGACCACACCCAGCCCCATCCTATCACTCATTTCTACACCCCCTCCCCCCCCCACACTCACACATGCTCCTTGATCCATGGTAGCTTTGCGTGCCTCCTCAGTGTCGAAACACTGGATTTTGTCTGAATGGACAAAATTTGGTGAAAATGACTGCATGCCGACAGCAATGGCAATTTTCATACTTACTAAAGCAAAATAGAATCAGGATTTGGTCTCTCTAAGCGATTCTGCAGCAATCGC